TCATTACGTGTTGATTTCTATCAACGGTGGAGTACTTCAGGAAAGTCGACGGGGGGGGGGGGGGGGCTAGTGGAGTACTTCGTGACCACAGAGTGTGAACGTTGTGATCAGCTGTTTTAGCGCAGTTCTCCAGTGAAGGGGGGGGGAGTCTCCCTCCGTAGCCGGTTGGCGTAGTTTTGGCACAATTCCGTTGTACAGACCGACGTTAACAGCAGCCCTGTCTGTGCACACGGAGACCGACTCTGTCGTCCGGTGATCTAACCGCCTTCTGGAAAAGCTTCACAAGTACGTCGGTACGCAAATGCGCTTTGTGACACGTACGCATTTCAGATTACGCACATAACCTGCGTACCAGTTATGTGCATCCCTGTACTACAGCAAAAGTATTCTCCGTCGGGACTTCCTGCAACAACACCACGCCGTTATCAAAGATGTTCTATTGAGAAGACGATCACTACGTGACAAAAGTTTTCAAAACCGTGGCTACTGAAATCAATCTTACTAACTGCTGTCTGTGCAATTTACTCCGCGCGAGTTGGCAGACTTTATTTTGCTTCCTTTAACATCATTTTTCATGGTGGGGCTAAGCCATTTATTGGTATGGGTGTAGCCTACCCCAGCCATACCCTGGCGCTGCCACTGGTGGCACGTATGGGGCGGGCCATTCTGCACATGCGTTAAATATTTTAACGCAATTAATTAAAAAAATTAATTACCGCCGTTAACGCGATAATTTTGACAGCACTAGTATAAATCAATCGATATACTTATCAGATATGCACAAACAAGCTTAGCTAACAAGCTGAGATTCCACAGATTCTAGAAATATAAGTATCATCACTGAGAGATCAGAACTCGCGACAGGGGAAGCAAACACAGACATCGCACGAAGTAGCTTTACTGTTGGTAGCAAAACACGGAGATATGCTCCCCTTTTGCTGTTAATCTGATCAAAAACGAGAAAAAACGCGGCTGAAGGTTAATCCATAGGTTAATCCAATGTGTCTGTCATTTTGAAAAAAATATTGATAATCCATAATTCAATTTTTATGTAAAAAACTGAGTTTTCATAATAGCTGCTAATGATAGCTTCCAGAGTGTATGACAGCTTCCTGTTTTGTCTCCTTGGATACGAGTCCAAACAACTCACAGACTGCACCGGGCGCTGACGTAGGCGCCCCTGTGACCATCAGATTTGACGATGCTGATTGGCTGAAATTATGTTTCGGCGGCATAGTTTAAAGAAAGCAACAGTTGGCTTCTGCTGCACTTGCTGGACTCTCGCCTGGGCGCTGTGCATAGCGCCCAGACGAGAGAGGGTAATGATACACGGGCAAGGCCAGTCAGGAAACATCTGACTTATCAGTGACTTTAGACATCGTAACACCATTTTAAACAAGATTTTATTGTAGATTATACATTTTACTGATGCCAATTATATAATATTTACCTTGTTTAATAAAAATAAAATAAAATATATATATATATATATATTTTTTTTTAAATATATATATATTTTTTAAATATATATCTTTTTTTTTTTTTTTTTTTTTAATGTGGGAAGAGGGGGGGTGGCGCCCCTAGCGCCCCTATGGACCGGCCACCACTGACCCTCATATAATGGCTGCGATGCCCACCTATTTAAATAAATACAATCTACCCTGGCCTCATAGGTGCTTGTGTATATAAACTGAGGATCCCTATTTGGACTGACCAAGCATCCTTGAATAGGATTGTGTGCTCCCTCGCGCTGAAAATAACCACTGCTCTTCTGATTACAGAGTGATCATTTGAGCTCTAGGAGAACCCTGATTACTGAATCAAACATTCACAACTGAGCGCTGATTTTCTTCGACTCAGCCCTGCTCTGATCCGCTTATTCCAGCCGGGCTCTGCTCAGCTCGATACGAACGTGGCTGGCAGTGTTTCTTCTCAGCTCAGCTCGGCTCAGATCGGGGTTTCCTCAAAGATCATGTGTAATAAATTATAATTTCACCGCTTAGCTCAGCTGCAGTGGGCCGACCGAGTGTCCAACTGTGCTCATAATTAAAAAAGAATGAGCATGTTGTGTACTTTTTAGACGTGATGTTTGAATCGACTGGTGTTTGTGCTTGTTGTACAGCCAACAGAGAGGCAGAGATAAGCGTTGTCGGGAAGTAACAAGAGCAATTTCCTGACACAGGAAGCTGATATCGAAGCTCTCCACTTGCTGGCATGCGTTAGAAAGGATGCCTTTTTCATGAGTCCGACAATAATGCTGAATGGGTGGAAGCAGGTGTGTATGCATGGGAGCAGAGATTGGCAGTGGGAGTTATATTCATCAGATTCAATATTTATCTTTAAACGTTTAATCGCCAGGATCACCGTGTCATTGACGATATGCATCAGACAGGAGTAGACAGTTCTTTATCTGTGTTGCTCAGACTGTGAGTAGTGGTCACAGTAATGTGCTCTGACCCAGATTGTGGTCTGACAGTGACACATGGCCAGGTGCTGTTCAGGTGTCGGGGGGGGGACATTAGTCCTGGAGCCTCATTAATCATGATGGGCATGCTTCCTAATCACAGGGCAAGGCCTCACAGTGTGATTCGCGTTCTCCCTCTCCAAATTAGCTACGTCCATTGACCATTATGCGAGGAGACAGTGTCAGTATCTGCAATGTGCAAGGGGGAGGAGAAACCTAAACAACTCAAAATATGTTTGATTTAATTTTGAATAATGATGTTCCATCCTTTACCAAGTAGAGACACCTTGATGCTGAATATATGATGTTCTTTGTTAAGACAGCTATGTCAAGAGCATTTAAAGCACTTTTCATGTAAATTGCACAGAAAAATTATTCATGGGATTTGGCAAACGCACATCATTAGAGAAGGAGTGTGAGCAAGAATCATGGACATCAGTGCATCGAGTTTAAAATATGTGTCGTTCTGTGTGGACGGAGAAATATGTTAGACCAGTCGGCTTCAATCAAATTGTATATTTAAAACAGAGGACCCTCACACACAGTGTATGGCCTAGTTCACATGTAGGACAGCTCTCTAGTCTCAAGTGAGACTTTGTTTTTGATATAAGAAATAATCAAACCAGGCCCATAAAGCAGGACTTTCCAGTATATTATATATTATATATGACATACATCCACCATCTGGCCTACATCCCCTCTAAGATCAAACTCTTTCCCTACTGAGAAACAAACTTTAGCTTATGATTCAACAAGTGCATTGGAGTTAACCTACTCTCTGCTCACATGGTGGTATCGGCCTGGCCAACAGCCAGCAGGAGCCGCAATGAGTGGTGTTTACAAGGCTGTGACCACAACACCAGCTTCACACAGATGAGCCTCCATACCTGAGGGGAGTAAATCTGAGAAACAGCAGAGAGAGGCCGACCGGGCGGCTGATCAAAGCTTTATCAATGTCTTCATTCATAACACAAACTCTTGTTCATTTCCCCGACTGCTTTAAATGTGTAAACCCCCAAACGGACACTATTATTCTTCTAAGATTGATGAGGAATGACATAGCATTCATTCCTTTGTTACTCATTATTATTGACACCATATCCTGTTTTAACTATTTAAGTGTATTTCACTATTTGAAGTATATATAGAGTACATGAATTGGAAACCCAACTAGTTTTCAACACTTTCCATTTAAACATATAGCTCTCACGCTGCTCTTTGCCTAGCTGTGGTTTTAATTATCCGCACTAATCAATACTTTTATTGTAATGGTGAATACATTGTTTTCAATTTGATGTATTATGTATGTATTTTTGTTTCTTGTCTTAATTTAGAATATACTGTCTCTCCTATTGGAGTTGCAACTTCAGCAATTGTGAACAATTCAGACTTGATTTGACAAAAAACTACATTCATTATCATCTTCATCATCAATAGGTGGCTTATTTTGCTAAACTCAAAAATTATTTCCAACCGACTAAGCAGTTCCCTTCAGTGTCTATCAGCATTTTATACTTTATTTTCTGTTCCATAACACACTACAGTTTTAGATTATTCTCACCACTGTCATCAGTGTCATTTCCAGATATAGCAGAAAGGTGTTTTTGTGAAAGACTCATATGCTGCATGCCCATCACCATAGAGCAGGGGTGTCAAACTCAATTTCATCGCGGGCCTCATCAGCATTATGGTTGCACTCAAAGGGCCGGTTGTAACTTGAAGACATTTAAAAAAAAAAAAAACTATTTCTAAGAAAAATGCATATTTTGAAGAAAAAAAGGCAAATTCTGAGAAAAAAGTCTAATTTGAGATGCATTGTGGGACATGTAGTTTATGGGCAACGTGCTTCTGTAAAGTCGCATGTAACCTTATAATAAACATATTATATTCTTTGCACGCTCTTGTGGGGCCACATAAAATGAACTCGTGGGCCGGATGTGGCCCCCGGGCCTTGAGTTTGACACCCCTGCCATAGAGCAACAAAACATGGCTTAAACAGAGAAGGTGAATGTTGGAATTAGATTATCCAGTTGACCTGAAACTCCACATGATGTTGCTTTGTAACGATTGGATTTTTAAATACGCAACTGAGAGAATAATATGTCAATGTTACATTTACAGTACACAGTACAGTAAAGTATTTACTCCCCTTAAATTAATTAATTAATTCTGCTGGAAGATAGTATGCAAGCCAAACTATGTCCTATAAATAACAGCTACATATGTTTGTTTTTTACTATGCCTCCTGTAGCACCTTGGGATTGCTGTTAGCAATGAAAGGTGCTTTAAAAACCGAATTTATTATTATTATCATATTATTATTATTACGTTACTTTACAATTAAAAACATCGTCACCGAACATCCGATTCTCTCCTCAGCAGTAATACATGCTGGATATACTTTTTGTGATTCCAAAGTTGTTACCTCTATCTGTAAAAAAATAAATTGTATTCCGCTCACACATCTATTTCTGTCTTTTTCCCTCCTCTCCACTTTGATGACCCTCTGTCTGCCAATCTCCTCTGCTGCTGTCAGATCTTCCACATGACCTATGACCTGGCCAGTGCTGTGATGCGGATTTTCAACCTGATTGGTATGATGCTGCTGCTGTGTCACTGGGATGGCTGTCTCCAGTTCCTCGTCCCCATGCTGCAGGACTTCCCGTCAGACTGCTGGGTCTCCCTCAACAAGATGGTGGTAAGCAAAATGCTGTGTGTGTTTATGTTTGCGTATACGTGTCAAACAATACCACAGATATCAGTATGCAAAGCTGTTTAAAAGAACAATTACTGCAAAAACACAAGCACAACCCCCCCCCCCCCTGTGGAGCAAAAGAGTGTGTTATTTGCAGGCAGATCTAGTTAAGGATGAGTCTGCAAAAAAACACACACACACACACAGGCTGGCCTCAATTAAACCCTAGAGACATGCCGTGTACAGAAAACAGGAGTGAGGGATGAGAAAATAAAGCCTGTTTTTACTCGCTCACACACTACATCATGTGTTTATTCTTTAGCTGTTCTCTTCTTTATCTCGCTCTTATTTACATCTCCTCTCAGATGTCGGTAGCTTCTGGCCATCTGCTGATAGACTGGCCATTAGGAGAGTTTTTTCCTAAATGAATTCTGGCATGAAAGAAAAACTCTCTGGAGAGCAGTGTAGTGCAACACTCAAGCTGCATGAAAAATAACAGAATCTACCACACCATTAAGTTGAGAGTTTCTGTCTTGATCATTTTGGCTTAGACCCTTCCTTCCTGTCTGACTTGTCATTTTTTATCAGAAATACCTGACAGCGAGTTTGTGATTGACAGAGCCAGATGCAGAGAGAAGCTGTGACACTCAATCAATCAATCAATCAATCAATCAATCAATGTTTATATAGGCCAATATCACAAATGTTACATTTGTCTCAGTGGTCTTCACAGTGTGTACAGAATATCAGTATGACAATACGACACCCTCTGTCCTTAGACCCTCACATCGTACAAGGAAACACTTCTGGAGAAAACCCACAGTTTAAGGGGGGAAATGGGAGAAACCTCAGGGAGAGCATCAGAGGAGGGATCCCTCTCCCAGGACGGACAGACGTGCAATAAATGCCGTGTGTAAATCGAAGAGATAATACATTTACAACATAGGTAGTCCAAATGTTTGGAAATGCATGTGTGTATAATAGGAAGATGAATCCACGAGGATATCCATCCAGGACCTATGATCCAGGACCACAGCCACGACTCAAGATCCAGGGCTCGCGATGCAGGACACAGGACCGCAGGATCATCCATGACTCCGGATCCCGGCGTATATAGACACCAAAAAGAAAGAAATTTGGGGAAGCTGGGTTAATCGGAACATGAGAGTACACAGGTATAGACAGAGAGAAGGAAGAAGTAAGATGTCCCCCGACAAACTAAGCCTATATCAGCAAAACTAGGGGCTGAATCTAATCAGCCCTAACTATAAGCTTTATCAAAAAGGAAGGTCTTAAGCACACTCTTAAAAACGGATAGGGTGTCTGCCGCCCGAACACAAACTGGAAGCTGATTCCACAAATGTGGAGCTTGATAAGAAAAGGCTCTGGCTCCCATTGTACTTTTAGAGACTCTAGGAACAACCAACAACCCTGCATTCTTGGAACGCAATGCCCTAGTAGGACAGTAGGGTATAATGAATTATTTAAGGTAAGATGGCGCCTGCCCATTAAGGGCTTTGTAGGCGAGAAGAAGAATTGTAAATGCTATCCTGTGTTCTATAGGGAGCCAGTGTAAGGCAGCCAGAACAGGAGTAATGTGGTCCCTTTTCCTAACTCTGGTTAGTACACGAGCTGCAGCATTTTGAATCAGCTGAAGCGACTTGACTGACTTACACCTGTCTGTTCTCCCTGTTGCTCAATACTCGCATCTGTCACACTGATTTTGGTTTTTACACTGTATTACACACGAATATACACATTTACACATGTTGCCTATAATCCCAGTGTCAGGCCTGTTAGTTAGAACAACTAGAGACCACCACTCAAATTCAGATTTGTATCATTTTGTATTTGTCATGATGATCCATGTATGTTAAATGATATGGTGTCTTTTAGGGGTGGGATATAAATATATATTCACACAAAATGGGCATATACATCATCTAAGATTCTGAATGAATTTAAAAGTCAATTCTTTAAAAAAGTATATTATTTTCCTCAAAATAGCCTAGATATTGATAAAGACTAACAGTAAAACCACACACCAAGCATAGGTTGTGCCCCACACATCGTTGTTTGATTTGTTGCAACAGTTTTACCCTGTTATTATGTGTACAAGAATATTCTTGAGAAATACTGAAGACTATTGTTGTTGCGTAATGTACCGAATCGAGAATTGATTTTGAATTCAAAATCGAGAATACATTTTGATCAAAATGTGACACCAGGTGTAAAAAATAAATAAATCAGGTCTCAATTTCCACTTTTCACACTATGCCGATAAGTCAAATTAATGCATTTATTGTGAGTGTTTTATAGCAAACCTATGTTGTAAGTTCAGTAGACTGGATGATTCCTTCCTCTCACATTTGTCACCTAATTTTGGCACATTAGTGACATTCAGCCTTTAAATAGTCCTCTGAAAACACTTTTTACGTGTGTGTGTGTGTGTGTGGCACGCTGACCAAGCAAGGAGGCAGAGAGTTCAAATATAACCCGGTGTGGGCATTTATTACTCCTTGTGGTACATGACACAGCCTCAATATTACTGTCTCATGTGACCACAGTCACCAGCAACAAGGATCTCACACACACTAACAGGAAAAACAGCACCTAAATACACACAGACTAATCAAACCAACAAGAGACAGGTGAGGGGGGAGGAGACAACACAGGGCACCAGATGAACACAATCAACAACAACAGACAAGACTGGAGGGGGAACACTTTTCAAACTAAAACATAGGCTGCTTCTCAGGTCGACTATTTTTATTTCCTCGCTCCTCGGTCCTCGGTCTCACCGGAAGTTGATTTGCCTGCGTCATCTTGAGTACCGTCCCATGGCTCTTATTTCTGCCGGAGGACCGAGGAGCGAGGAGCGAGGAGCGATAATGGAGGAGCGATAATCGAGGAACCACCAGACCATTCTCCGATGAAATCCTCAGATACTCGCCCCGCCCCCTTACTGTGTATCGCTCACTGATTGGACGATGCAGTGCATGCACTGATCTCATGCTTCTTGACATGAGAGCCGTTTCCCAGCGGAGTGAAGAAAATACATGAACCTCACGGGAGTCACTCCTCAGTTTATACCGTGTTTTGTTTCAATTCCTGTTTCATTTAGTTATACATATGTGATATATCTGAACAACAAAGTGGTCAAAAATCATTTTATTCATTTGTTGGAAACATTTTCATGATCGCTTTTTTCGTTTTACATTTTCATTTATTGTCATTTCCATTCAGTCAGTCATTAAGTGCTATTAAAATGTTAATGTGCTACATATCCACACAAACAAACAAACAAAGTGTGAAATCCAATGAATGTTAATCTGACTGGGTTTTGATAGATAACATATCTCTTTTTCTTCTCTCAATTATTTTATTTATTTTGTGCACTCTAATCAATATTAATCAAACTATTGTTCGTTTATACGTTTTAAGAATGGCGTTTATCTTTTTTGACAATGAATTCTTATTTTATTTTATTTATTGGGATCTACAACAGATGATACAAATGTTTGTGTCAGTAAATGTGTACTAACAGAGGCGGAGGTGTGTGTGGAAATAACGGGGACAGAGCTGGCTGCTGTCAGACGATCAGCTGTGCAGCGTCATCACAAACGGACGTCGCTTCACGTGACGCTCCGGAGGAAAGGACGTCCCATTGCTCTTAAAACTCATTTCCCTGCTTCTCGTGGTTTCCTTGCGTCCCTCCATGCTTCCCTGGTGGGAGGGACTAAACGCAGGGAAACGACGCAAGTGAGGGAAGCAAGGATTTCATTTAATCGACCTGAGAAGCAGCCATTGACAGATCGTGACAAATAGTTACATAAATTACATATATTCCCATGCTTCCTGTGCAATGTTTTTAGTGCTATATTATCCGTAACAGAGGCCGAGATCTATGGCCCCAAAGATCGTGTGTGTGTGTGTGTGTCGCGCTGACCAAGCAAGGAGGCAGAGAGTTCAAATATAACCCGGTGTGGGCATTTATTACTCCTTGTGGTACATGACACAGCCTCAATATTACTGTCTCATGTGACCACAGTCACCAGCAACAAGGATCTCACACACACAGGAAAAACAGCACCTAAATACACACAGACTAATCAATCAATCAATGTTTATTTATATAGCCCAATATCACAAATGTTACATTTGTCTCAGTGGACTTTACAGTTTGTACAAAATATCAGTATGACAATACGACACCCTCTGTCCTTAGACCCTCACATCGTACAAGGAAAAACTTCCGAAGAAAACCCACAGTTTAAAGGGAAAAATGGGAGACACCTCAGGGAGAGCAACAGAGGAGGGATCCCTCTCCCAGGACGGAAGGACGTGCAATAGATGCCGTGTGTAAATTGAAAAGATAATACATTTGCAACATAGGTAGTCCAAATGTTTGGAAATGCATGTGTGTATAATAGGAAGATTAATCCACTAGGATATCCATCCAGGACCTATGATCCAGGACCACAGCCACGACTCAAGATCCAGGGCTCGCGATCCAGGACAGAGGAGCGCAGGATCATCCATGACTCCGGATCCCGGCGTATATAGACACCAAAAAGAAAGACATTTGGGGAAGCTGGGTTAATCGGAACATGAGAGTACACAGGTATAGACAGAGAGAAGGAAGAAGTAAGATGTCCCCTGACAAACTAAGCCTATATCAGCAAAACTAGGGGCTGAATCTAATCAGCCCTAACTATAAGCTTTATCAAAAAGGAAGGTCTTAAGCGCACTCTTAAAAACGGATAGGGTGTCTGCCGCCCCGAACACAAACTGGTAGCTGATTCCACAAATGTGGAGCTTGATAAGAAAAGGCTCTGGCTCCCATTGTACTTTTAGAGACTCTAGGAACAACCAACAACCCTGCATTCTTGGAACGCAATGCCCTAGTAGGACAGTAGGGTATAATGAGTTCTTTAAGGTAAGATGGCGCCTGCCCATTAAGGGCTTTGTAGGCGAGAAGAATAATTTTAAATTCTATCCTG